TTTTTGTTTTTAGAGAGGAAAAATCATATTTCTGCACGTTTTTATTAGAAAAAAAATACAAAAAGGGGGGGCTTTTTTGTCTTTTTTTCTATTAAAATGTGCATAAAACATTGATTTAATTTGAGGTAAAAACAAAGTCAACAGAGTCAAGCAAAGACTTAGAATATTTCTGCACATTTTATCAGAAGAAAATACAAAAAGGGGGGATTTAAAAACAAATGTGCAGAAAACATTGATTTAATTTGAGGTGAAAACATTTTTTAGAGAGAAAATTGAATATTTCTGTAGATTTTTATTAGAAAAAAACAAAAAAAGGGGGTATTTTTGTACTTTTTTTATAATAAGAATATGCATAAAACATGTATTACATTTGAGGTAAAAACATGTAATTCAAATGCTTTTGTTTATTTCCTCTTCCAGAAAACTCAAGCAAAGACATCATGTTTTGTTCTTAGAGAGAAATAAGAATATTTCTGCACATTTTATTATAAAAAATAAATAAAAAAGGGGGGGGGTATTTTTTTCTAATGAAAATAAGCAGAAAACATTTATTATATTTGAGGTAAGAACATTTAATTTAGCAAGTTAGCATTTAAAAAAAAAAAAATTTCCTCGTTCAGGCTGTACAGACTTAAGTTTCTCTCCTTCTGTCAGGATGCTGTGGAGATAAATATTGACCAAAAAATGAACAAAACCAGGAGAAAAACCACAGCCGTGACTGCCCATTTCTTCCCTTTCAAACGGGAACAGAAGGCTTTTCTCTGATTAGGATCCATAAATAATTGCCTTTTTGTCATTTGGAAATCAAACTCTTTGCTCCAGGTTTTTACTCGTGTTTTGGTCTTTTTTCCCAGATGGGAGCAGTTTGTGCTTCCTGTACACGAAGTGCAAATCACTGAATGATCTCCATCATTAATGTTGTGTTTTCTCCTCTTTTTCTCACCTCATTTCGCTCCAATGGGTCACAACCTATCTGTCCCCCATTTTTCTTTAAAAAAAGGCCGATTTTTTACCTCGTCCTTTTTGTGACTACAAATTTAACACAATCTAAGTGCCTTCAATTTCCGACTTTAGTTTAAAAGACGAAATTACAGCCCTTTTTTTGCA